AAATCACTCTCTCCATTTTATACACTGCACTATGCATGGCCTTTTACAGCATCTAATGAAGTGAGCTTGAGCTCATGAAATCTTAGGCTATATTTATCTCTGATTTAGCTAGTCTACAAGGTGCCCATCTACCTAGCCTTCTGCCTACAGCAGAGAGGAGTGGAAGGGGATGAGACTCGCACAAGGCTCATTTCAAAGCTTAGGACTGCAGTAAGGCTCCTAAGGCCGTGTACACCACTGAACGCACCGGGAAGCAGTTCCCATGGCAATCCTACTCCTTCTCCCTCGGTTTAGCTGTTTAGAAATAGGTTGTTTTAAGTCCTTCTGGGGTGAACCGTGGTGTATACAAGGGTCCACATGTTCCCTCTGGGTTTTGAGCCCTAAACAAACTCCCCTTTCATTGCCCAAATAACCCCCTCTTCCTGTTCACATTTGGCACCGTCCCTGGATGGAGCTAATACATGGCGGGAGAGTGTGGTCTCATGGTCAGAGCAGCCTGCAGTCCTGTACTTGGTCCCTGGCTCTGAGACTGCTTTGCCATCTTCCCTTGGGCAAGCCACCTAACCCTGCCACGGTCCACTGGCACAAGGCTCCCCAGCCCTCCTTCCAGAGATCCTGGGAGTCTCTGTTAACACAGGTCGGTGACACAGTCTGAGATCCAGGGGGAAAAGGTGCCAGCTCTCCTTTGGGTGAATGGATAATGCTGGGTGTCGGCTGCCTTGCATGCTGCTCACAACAGCTGCTGTGAACTGCAATGGGGGTCGGGGCTTTTGTTTTCACTGACTGATCCCCGAAAATCTTGGGGCTAGAAGGGACCTTAAGGAGAGGTTGTGAGCTCCCCATTTCAGCTGCCAAGGAGGCTGCAGGGCACAAGGGGGTGGGACAGGTGTGGTGGGATGTTAGAGAACAGCCCTCCTCCACTGCCCCCTTGACTACTGCTTATATTACAGTAGCACCCCATGGCTCCCAGGCAGGGGTCAGAGGTGAATGATTTCAAGGTGCTGGATGAACAGAAAGGGGGTGTAAGGGGGTGCTCGGTGTGCCGCTCAGCCCAAGAACCAGCAGCTGATGAGGGAATTGGAGCCAGACGGGTGTCACATTTGGGATTTGGAAGGACTTTTACCCTGTGGTCAGACTGGTACAGACTGGGGAGGAGTTTGCCTTGCTCATTGTGCCTCTGCCTGGGATCTCTTGAACATGTGTTAACAACCTCTGGCTGCTGTGGTGCCCCTGCTGAACCTGTGGCAGGTTCGGCTGTGATGTCTTGTCTTGCATCAGGCTTGACAGTGGTTTTACTAAGAGGCTAGACAATGCATCTGTACGGGCTGGTTGGGATGGGGCGATCCTGCCTCAGGCAGGGGGTTGGACTAGATGAACTCTGGAGGTCCCTTCCAGCCCAACTTCTCTATGATTTCTATGGTACAGTGCTGAAAGCTGGAGGAAGGTGCCTGGCTGGCGTATGGTCAGTGTGGACACTCCCACTGGGCTGCCCTGGCAGTATGAGAAATAAATGCTTCCCCTCGATCCAGCTGCCTGAGCCCTGCTACCTAGCTTGCAGACCACCCGAAGCACCTTGCCAACATTTGATGATTTACAGCAGCGGTGACTGGACTGAGGGGCCAGCTAATCACCCGGGTAAAAACAGCTTCTCTTGGCAACCTCCCGAGACTCCCTGGGTGAGCTCCGGGGTGAGCTGTGGTGTATCAACCATCCCTCCCAGTGGCTCACGTTCAGTGTCCAACCTCCCCAGCCAAGGGATTTTCCTCCCGGCTCCTGCGCTGAGCAGAGCCATGGCCATTGCTGAAAAACACAGGGTTCCCACTGCCTTTTAGAGCAGATTTTCCATCTACTAAAATCCAGCATCTCCTAAACAAAGAACAGCCCTCCAGGGAGCAGCCTCAGGTGCCTGCCCACCCCTTGGGTGTCAGTATGGCTGCGTGGGAGCCAAGCTCTCCCAGTACATTTCAGGCCCCCTCAGCTGGGACAGGGGAGCAGATCTGCCCATGTATTCATCCGACTGGAGTCTGCCTGGGGCAGGCAGCGCAAAGGGTGGGGAGCCGTGCACACAGCTGGCTTATGTGACTGGAGGGTCTCCCATCCCACATGCCAAAGGTAAGCACATGGCTTTCTCATGCATGTGTCCCCACAGCATCCTGGTGAGGTGCAGCATGGCTCCTATCCTCATCAGTATGAGACTTTTTAGGTGCCTAACTCCCATAAGATCCCAGCCCTATGTGGCTTGCTCAGGGGATGATGGGCCTCCCACAAGCCAGTCTCAGCACCCGCAGATCTACACCCCCTGATGCGTCCTAGCCGCAGTCAGAGCTCATCAAGGCTGGGACTGTCCTACTGTGTGTACGGCACTGGCCAACTACTTTATTAGAGCTGAGGCCTGTGAATGCTGATGCCTGATCCCCCCCTCCCCAAACCCAAGCATTCAGGCACCCTGCATCCCCCATGGAAAGTCCCAAAGGGAACAGCCCCCCATTTTTGTCGCCCTTGTAAGTCTGCTTAGACACTTCCGGCAGTCACTGGAGTTTCTCTTTGCATTCACTGCCACGACGGAGGAGTGCAACAGTCCAGGACTGTCCCTGTTGTGTACTCTCTGAAGCAAGGGGCCTGCCGGCATCCTGGAGAAGGCGGCTGTGTCCTGTGTGAGGTTTACCCGGCCCCCAGAATGGCAGCTGGGGTACAGGCAGGGCTGGATAATGATTTGGGCCTGACCCCAGCTGAAGCTCTGCCACATAAGGCAGCGTTAGGTGTAGCCTGTATCCTGCTCTGACCAAAGACTCGGGACCCCTCTTGCTGCAAGGGGGTCTACGGGCTGTGGGGCTACCGGTTCCAGCTCTTCATACCTGCAGCTAAATCAGACTAGGTAAGCTGGTGTTTCTTTCTACAGGGCATGAATTGGAGCGGCCCTGCCAAAGATGACGTGACAAGCTGGAATGCTGATCTCCATTAGCCACCTCAGTCCAGGTATTTGCTCCTGGGCCCAGCTGCTGCATGGGATTTCTGAATGAACTCAGCAGTCAAGAGCCCTCTGAGAGCTACCTCTGCTTGGCTCTGACCCAAGCAACAGGTGCAACAGCTGAGAAACGAATGCAAGATCAATAAGCCTTCAAGCTGCTCTCAAGCTGCAAATTATTCAAAGCATCCAGAGCCTAGGGGAGGTCACCAGCTTGAAGAAGTCATGGAGTCCCTGTCAGTGCCAACAACTCCAGCTAGCATGCAGAAGTGGCTAATGCATATAATCCATCCAAGTATTGAGGCCAAAGGCCCTTTTTAACATAACAACCCTTGGGGCTAGCTTAGCTGAGGCACACCAAGTTCTCTACCACACAACAGAGCAAGTATATCTGTCTGCCTTTGATAGCATTGTCAACTACTTGAAATAAAAGAGGATTCTCTGTGGCTGCAGGGGATAGACCAGGAGCAATGGTCTTACATTGCAGCAAGGGAACCATAGAGAAGTAGGGCTGGAAATTTAGCAAGGAAAACAGGAATCACACTGTGAGGGTGGTTTAAGCATTGGAAAAGATTAGCTGGACAGGTTGTGCAACCTCCATCCTTGGGAGCTTTTAAGCACTGGTTGACAGACACGTGCCTGGGATGGTTTAAACACAGCTGATCCTTCCTGGAGCAGGAGGCTGAACTAGATAACTGCCCAAGGGTCCTGCTGGCCCTGTGCTGTGATTCTGACTCCCCAGCCCAAATGACCAGATACCTATTTACACCTGGGTCATTGTTTGGTGCAAGTCCAAAGCAAGGCTTAAGTTCACACCTCTGAAGCTGTAGGAAGACACCTCAACCATGTTCTCCCTGTATACCTGACCAAACCATTGCAGCCAAGCATCTGTCTAACCTGCCCTTGAAAATTTCCAGGGATGAAGACTCCACAAATTCTCTAAGTAGCCTCTTCCAATGCTCAGCCACCCTCCCAGTCAGATAGTTTTTCCTCTATGATACGATCAGGTATCAAGTGACATTAGTGATGAGCAAGGTATTCGTGGTGGTATCAGAAGAGAAGTCTCCAGTGCCATCCACCTGCAGCCAGTACCCACTAATTGGGCCTCAGACCAAGTTATGGTCAAAAGCTGCACTCACTGTCCTGACGGACGGCCTCCATCAGCCAGGAAGGCACGTGCATATTCCTCCTGCTTCATGCACACTACTCTGCCTCCCTGAGCCCAACCCCCTACCATGATAACTGGAAATGATTGCAGGTGGCTTAGTCTACTCTTCTCCAGACAAGCCCAGAGGTTTGTTAGGACTGACTCTAGTTCCCATCCACTCTGTTTCTCCTTTCCAGCCATCGCACGCAGCACCATCTCCTGCTTTCTCAATGCTCCTCTGAAATGGGGGGCCTGGGGGAAGGTTGCCCAACTAAGGCTAAACCCAGACAAGACAGAGGGGATGCTGGTCGGTACAAGGTGCAGTGTAGTGCTTCTTCCGCTGGCTCCTCACCGCATATGCAGCCCCAGGCAAGGTCCCTACCTTGCTGGGGCTGGTCATTGCTACCCAAGTGGTCAACACAGCCTCTGGGACCGTGACCGCTCGTGACAACTACGGACTTTATTTTCAATTGCAGTTGTGCTGCCATGATGACAACATTGGCTACAACCAAAGGCAGAATGTGGCCCAGTCTTCACAATAATGGAAGCCCACTGCACCAGGCAATATTTAGTATAGTGAAAGCCCAGCAAGCTTTTTTCAGGGAGATGAGAAATCACAGGCATTACCAAAGGCAAACAGCCCTGCTGTTCTCCCCACCCCGGCTTCTGAGCCATGTATGTGTATGTCCATGTGCAGCTCTGCGAGCCAGATGATGGACATCCATCATCTCTTGCTGAGAGCTGTGTTTTTAGCCTGGCTCCTGTGCCCTGTCCTTGACATCACACGTGGGACAAGGTGAGGGCATGGGAGTGATCTCGGTGTGCCACACAACCGATCCCCACTCCCACACCAGAGTACGTCTCTCATGCACATAGGCACCACGTTACCTGCATCAGGGTGCGGAGGGATTCCACGTAGGACTGCTCCGTGTCCAGGAGGGTCATGGTGACATGTTTCCTCATATCCTGTGGAAAAGGAAAGGAGAGATGTTAAGAAGCTGTGCCATGGCCATGGGTGACCTCAAACCAGGACATGTCCAAACCAGGGGTCCCAACCCCAGCTGTGGTCACAGCAATTATGAGTGGGGTCATAAGCGATTAACAGGGGTCAGGCATTACCACATTTCAGTGGCTGTCACTCTGCCAATACCAAGCTAATTAGCCCTGTTTCATTCAGGGTACAGGGCCCGGGTTCACCGCTCGCTGCAGACACAAACACCGGTACCACAAAGCAGCAGAGGTGCCGTAAATTGTAAGCACACAAGCAGCATGATGGAGCGTGGGGCGGGGGCCACACAAAATTACCCCACTATCAGCAGGTTCCTGAACAGAAAACATTTGGGGACTGCTAACTTAGAGGGATGCCATCAACTGGCGTGAGCTGTTCTCTCGCATGGAAACCCAACAGATCTCCCTCCACCTTTCTCTTTTTTACTATGGGTCCTGGCTGCCCCAGGAAAGCCCTGTCTGCTGCTGGCTTTACCTTCCTCCCTGCTTGCCGGTGAATGTGGCCTGATTAGGAATGGGAAACCCAAGTGCCAATGCTCCCATTAGGAACGGGAAACCCAAGTGCCACATTGTCCACCCCCTGCTCCAGGGTAGGACCGTGGGCACCTAGACCCTCCCTGAGAGGTCTCTGGGATCTGTTCTTAACACATGTGCACAGCCAGCCCCCGAAGGCAAGAATTTCAGTCCTGTTTTGAAGATTCATCATCCCTAGAGCTACAAAGAGCTTCCTGATCTCTACCCAAGACCTTCTTTGCGATCAATTAAGCAGTGACTTACAGTCCTGCTCTGGGTAGACCAAGAGAACAACCATCCGGCATCACCGACAACGCACTCGAACACCCTGGAAGACTCCTAGCACATCCTGCCCTTGATCTTCTCTTTTCCAAACTACATCAACCCAGTTCCTTCACCCTTTTCCCATAGGTCTGATTTTCAAAATCTCTTATTGGTCTTACATTTGTTAAAGCAGGTGCCCTGAACTGGGCCCAGTACTCCAGGTAAGGCTTCGGTCTAGCAGTAGAAGGCCTATGCCACACTCAGTCTGTCCTGTAGTCATACATGCACATTTACTACCCTGTCCAATTACACTGAGACAGGACAGGAGGTGTTAAATAATTCCTCAAGGACATTTAGAGGCTGAGGCAGATAAGAAGGGGTGAGATTTAGGCCAGGGGTGTCTGGAGGACATGAAGGAGTTTTGCATCACTGGTACATGGATTGACATTTCCAGCACGGCATGCTCATTACTCATGAAACACCAGCTTGCTCGTGGTAAATTCTGGGCACAGGTTTCCACGCAGGGGATGGGAGGGAGGATTTAATTGTAGCTGTGTAAAGGCCAGCTGCTCAGTGCTGGCTGTCCAAGCCACAGTCTGGCCAGCCACGCAACACCCGGAGAGTCTGCGCTGGTGGGGGACCACGTCTGAAGCCAACCGTTCAAAGACCAGGGCCTCACTGCAGGGACCCACAAGCAGCTAGGGGTGGTGACCAGCTCTGAAGTGACTTCTGATGAAAGAGAATCAAGAGCTTATTAAACTACTCGACAGCTTGACTGCTAGCAACGGGGGCCGCAGGCCTGACCCACAGCCCACTGCGGTCAACTGGGACCTTTCCACAGCATTCAATGGACCAGACCTCTGACAGCAAACAACCCGCATGCAAGCATCCTGACACGCCCGCACCGTGTGATGAAGTCCCGCTGCAGCTGCAACCAAAGATGCATTCGCCCAAAGCGACGTCCTTCGCAAGAGCTTTCAGAGAGACGTCCAGGTGACTGCGCTGCAGACCCAGACGGACCAGCTGTAAATGGGGACCTGCTCATTCAGTCACCGTGGCCAGACATGATGCCAGCCACACCAGTGCCAGCCCATATGGACCTTTGACCCAACTGAGCACCCTGGCATGGAGCTGAGAGTGCAGATGGGAGCCTGCAGCTGAGACGCCCACAGCACAGATCGCATTATATTCCTGCTCTCCCCAGAACGAAACACGAGCAAGGGGAAAGCAGTCAGACACAAGAGGTAGCTGGAAAAAAGCAGTGGGAGAAATAGCGCTGAGAGAGGCCTGTGCCGAGACTCCAGGTGTGAATCCAAGGGACCCCAAACCAAAGCCTCCCCTGCAGCAGGGGCCTGGCTTGAGTTTTGCTCCGAGTTTCTCTGATCATCCAAACCCAGAGCGCAGAGCATACGCCAGCACTGGCCTGGGGGCGCCTACACGGCACAAACTGAACGGCAGGAGCAGGGCTGAGCTGAGACCAAGCCGGACCCTCCTCCCAGGGCGGCAGGAACAAAGTCTGCCACGTGCGCAAAGTTTGGTGCTGATAGCAGAAGCCAGGGGAGACATCCCTGTTGTACAACAATGCTCAGCCCCTTGCACCCCCAGCCACGTGGACACCGACATCAAGGCCAGAGGTGCTGGCACTGACACCACCCGAGCCAGCGCCAGCGGGAGGGATAGGGTATGACCGCTGGGGGCCCGTGGAAAAAGGGCTGGGGAAGAGCAGTGAGAAGGCGGCTCTGAGATGACGGCAGCACTGGTTTTCCTGCGACGTAGGTGGAGTATTCAAAGCAAGCGCCGTGTGTCTCTGAGCAGGGCAGCTTCCCCAGTCCCACCTCCAGAGCTCTTTGCAGCTAAGCACACGGGCCCTGAGCACCCACCACGCCAGCTGGAGCCAAGGCCCAGCACCTCTGAAAATCAGGTGCCAGCTTGCACCTTGTCCTCTCTCTCTCCCACCTGCCCTCTCTGCCCCTTCCCAGGTCTGCAGGGAGCCCCACTGCCCGCGTGCCCCCCAGGTTCGGCTCTGTGGGACTCTGCCCAGCGTTCGGTGAAAACAAGCAGGAAACTGAGGCAAGGCAGGCTACTCCTCGACTGAGCAGGCATCTGCTGTCCCAAGCCCTGTCTGCCATCCTTCCTCCGGGGCCAGGCTGCCAATGCCTTCAGACCAGCCTGACTCCCAGCTTCCCACTCTCTCCCATATGGATTTATCCGACACGGAGGCTTACTGTGCTGCCCAGCAGCGGTGAGCATGCCGGGGCACCCCCAAAATCCCTCTGCCGCTTTCCACCCGGAGTCTACTGTCCTCTGCACCCTCCACCTGGCCCCTCCTGCAGGCACGAGCCCCTCGCTCCACCTGCAGCCCTCCTTTGAGAGCACTTGTCTTGCTGCCTTCTCATCCCCAGTGCCCACCGTACAAGTCGTCTGCCCCTCTTGTAAAGGAGGCAGCGCATCGTAGCAGACAAAGCGCTGGGCTGGGATTCAGGAGGTCTGGATTCAAATCCCAACTCAGTTGCAGGGTGACCCTGGCAAACTCCTTTGCTGCTCTGTGCCTCAAGTCTTCCCACCTGTAAAATGGGCCAATGACACAGCCTGGGAAGCGCTATCTAAAAGCGCTATTACGAGTCAAGCTTTTCTCCATCAGCTGCCTCTTCAGAGACCAGCTCATTCACACGGCCTGCCCACACTGCTCTCTCCCAAGGTCCTGCTTGCATCCACCCTCCCACCTGGCCTCTCCTTATCTCTCCACTGCTTCTTGAAGCAGGACTGTCAGATCTGGAGCATCCTCTCTAGCACGACACAGGCCACCAGCTCGATCGCCGCCTAATAAGCAGTGCTGATCGCGAGCCGACACAGTGACACACCCGGGCAAGGTACCTCACCACACATAAGCACCAACGATAGGGACAGGCACCCTGGCGTTATTTCCTGCTATCACCCACTGCACTTTCAACCTACTGTGACTCTCGGTCATTTGTAGATGTGAGAAGACAGGAATCAGCACTGCTGAGCCACCTGAGGCACCAGTTGTCTCTCCCCCTTCCCTGAGCATCCTGGTTTCTGGCTGGAAGCGTGATCTTAAGGTCCACCAAACCCAACTTTGATCAGAAAAAGCCTTTTCACATCAAGAACAGGGGGACAGAGGAAGAAGCTCCCCAGGGAGGTGGTGACCCTCTTTTGCTGGAGGGTTTTGGGAAGAAGCCCTAGATAGGGATCTGTCTGCAATAACTCCTGCTTCTGTGCAGAGGGTTGCACTAGATGACCCGTGAGGACCTTTCCAAGCCGGGGCTGCTAAGACAGAAAGAAAGGGATCCATCTGGAAGAGACCTGGGTCCAACACAGGGGTTCCTGGTTTCTCACTAACGTCCCTTCCAGCAACTTGCTTTGTTCTTGCTCTCCTCATTTATCATTGCATGGCGAGAAACTGATGCACAGCGGCCTGGACTTGCGGCTCATCTTCTCTTGGGTTTCACTCCTGCAAACCTCTGCTAACAACTCAGGAGTCGCACCACATTCATGCTGGGTCCACTGGATCACAGCTGGGTCCACAGCTCCAAAGAGCCCGGGTCTCGCCCATCTGCTCAGTCATCAAATCTGGGCCAGGAAGAAATTTCCCCTAGGTCAGACTGGCCAGGACTGGCAGTGGGTTTCCTCAATCCCCTGTAACACAGGGCACGGTCCTTTCCTGCAGATCAGCATATATGAACTGCTGTTGCGGCAATGACAGGGCCCTGGCAGTGCCTCCTCTCCCTTGCTTTTACTGCTGGTCTGATTTAGGCTGTTCTTGGTCTCTCTGATTTTATTCCTTGCAGCTGTGCGCAAGGGTTGGATGCAGGGATCTGGGGAGATCCTTGGTTCAGGGCTTCCTGCGAACGCAGGGGACTGGACTTGATGGCCTCAGAGGCCCTTACCAGACTGATGCTCCTACGAAAATCAAGATCCGTGACAATGCACGCCAGCTGAGAGGAGCCCCGTGCTATGGCTGGCACTGGGAAGCCAGAGCTATTTGCTGTTCATCCTACAGCAGTGCCTAGCAACGTCTGCGGAGGCACAGGGGCCCTGCTGCCGTAGGCACGATGAGGACAAACAACCGAGACTGGCGAGCAGGTTTCCAACAGGATGCGATGGTGGGGTGGGACGATACAGGGTGCGCTGGGCAGCGTGCAGAGCCTCTGTCTGATCTC